TTAAAAGAGGGGTCACTGCATCATACTTTCATCTCTGGTAACCATGTTTTGCAGGTTTATGAATTATTTCAAAAATTTACAAAACCAATTTTATTAGAAGAAAGTGTGAGTTTTAAAAAGTAGTGTGTTCCATGGAAACAGACCCTTTCTCAAACTACTTTGAACTTTAAAAACCGTGACACAATATAGTATGCCGAAATGTCCACTTCCAATTTCCACTGATGTTCTGAGGCAGATTTGCACTTTGAAAATCACTGAGGTTTCCACTGGCAATCAAAATGTGCTTTTTATTTCCCCAGTCATTAACAGCAGGTTTTGGGGAATTTTGCTGACCCCCTGTAGATTGAATCTCTTACCATGATCAGGAGATGGCAAAAAGTCTCACTAGTGTCTACTCTGCTCAAGCTTACAAGCTTCATTATATAAACAAGCATGATTACAGCCATTTGCCTTTGGCAAATAACATGCATTGCGGAACTCTTGTCCTCCTGAGAACAAGAGAACACTCGCACATAGTTAGTTTGTGGAGCTGCATGTGAAATCATTTGATTTATATTCTACACAGTGATGGAAATCAGGGCCACATTCAAAGAGTTGCACAGCTTCTAGGGACGTGTGGATCTGTCAATTTGGATTCTCTCTGCTTCTCATTTTTTCATAATTTCACTTTGCCCCTTTGGATCACTTTTGTAATCACAAAAATCAACATTTTATTGTGCAACAATATACACATTTTAAATTTAATTTTCCCTAATATACACATTTTTTTGCAAGCAATTTCCCATATAAATGCATTTATTTGTTATTTATATATGTGTTTATGGACATTCCCCTAACATGCACATTTTTTAATACATTCTTTGGGTTTGGAGAAGTCATCACAAAATCTGGACAAGTGAATATTTTGAAGGATACTCATGTTTCAGTTCATGCAAATTAGGCAACTGCACATTTAAAGACGAAGCATAATGAACACACACATATATATTAGCTCCATCAGAGTTTCTGCATCACTTGCCTTCAAGTCATGTCCTAAGATTCCATATTTTTTTGCACTAAAGGGGTGCCAATTTCATTTTAAAAAAATGCTGATTGTAAATAAAAAAATATCAAAGCAGTTTTTAAAAAGCCTCAAGGTGGATAGTCAGTGTGGTGCCCTCCAGAAATTTTGGATTCTCTCTCCCATCTCCCCTGACCATTGGTCCTGCTGGCTAGGGCTGATGCAAGTTGTGGTCCAAAACAGCTAGCCATGTTCCCTACCTCTGTGCTATTACTGGTGGTACTGTGGTTCTTGGCATGTAATATTTATAATCTACTTTAGATGGACAGGGAATAGGAACAAAGGAGGGGGGAGGGTTGCCAGCTTCTTTTCTTATCTAGCTCTCCTGGGTGCTCTGCTTTTGTCTCCTGGGGTGGGGGGAATCTGTTAAGGCACAAGAGCAGAGCTGGTGAAGAAAAGGAGGTAACCCTGGGAATACGTGGTGCCTGGCATAGGATAAAATAGAGGTGAGTCAGCTTGTAGGAGGGAAACAGGTAAAGTGAGGTTGACACAATTCAAAGATGCTGCTAAAGTATTGCTACTCACGAATCTCTGCTGAGAAGTAGCAAGAGATTCCAGGGGTCTTGGCACATAACCAGGTTTTGTGTTTCCTTGGAAAAAACATGGGACAACAGAGGCTAGTGTTTTTATGAAATATGGTTTATTCATACATAGTTACACCTGAGTTTTATGGAGAAAGAGTTCACAGTATTTACATTTCAAGAGGCGCTTGTCCTTTCCCAGCAGCACAGCATCGGATCCAGAGGCATCTTAATTATGTATCATTTATTACATTTGTATACCGTCTTTCATCCGTAGCTCTCAGGGTGGTTCACAGCATAAAAATGCAAGATAAAAACACAAAATACATAATAAAAACAACAAGAACAAACCAAACACCTCCACCCACACCCCCAAGGAAGATGGGAGGGACTATAATGAGTGGAGTTCACGGCACTCACTCAAAAATGTATCTATTTGGTGACCTTGCTTCTCCCAGCTTCTTGAAGGAAACAGTAATGCAATGCTATTATGTTATTGGTAAGAGTGTCTCTAAGTACAGAGTGCCCTTCCTTCATACTCACAACCTTAGCCAGTCCCAGCATAATTAAGGAGCTGAGAAGCGATGATAGCTCAAGGTCCCAGCATATGTTTGTATTCTGAATGCTCTGGGTTCAATCTCTGGCATCTCCAGGTTAAAAATGTGAGGCTGCAGGTGATTTGAAATGTACCCACACCTGAGATACTGGAGAGCCACCAGAGTAGACAATCTGGCAGCTTCCTTTTTGCATGGATTAAGCTAGCCAGTAGCATCCCCTGTATATTCTAAGGGACCCATCACTTCTTGCAGCATTCTGATAACACAAATGTTTCTGAAACAGTTTAAGGTTGTCCTCTACTATCCCTCCTAACCTATACAGTGGTACTACACCCCTTTCTGCATATGCCCACTTTCACTTTGACTGCAATCTGCTAATCCACAGATTCCAACCTTAATTTCAGCTTTGTATGGCCCCCCTGATTCCTGCAAAGGGCGATGTAATGAAAAATACAATCCAAAAGATGTTTGCCACTGCAACAGCAAATGTGAACAACACCAGAACTGTTGTGAAGACTACCATAGCCATTGCCAGCAAGGTGAGTGAAAACTCTGGACGCTAATGTTACGAAAGTTCTCCTGTGGTCATTCCCTGCTTAAGCTGTCTTCCTAAAGGCACCTGGTTGACCTCCTCTGTGGGAAACAGATGGTGAACTAGGTAGGCCTTAGGTCTGGTCCAGTTTGGTATGACAGAAACATCTATATAAATAAATGGAAAAGGTTTATACCTGTCTGGTCAGGGGGAAAGGTGGGGTATAAAACAACAACACTTGACTAATGGGTTTTGGTTCTTGATGCTAGCCTATCATCACCACCACCATCCTTACAACTGATTATCCACCCTTCACCCTAAGGTCCTGGGGTGTGTTGCAACAATTAAAACACAATATTTTCTTTTAAAAATATATTACTATCACCAAGATGCCCTTAAGAGTCAGGACACTTCTCAAAAACAGTTTCATTTTGCACTGGTCAAGGGGCCTTGATATGGTTTGTGTGCAATCATTTCTCCTTTCTTTTATCAGCTAATGCAGATGGCAAAGAAACAGGAACAGTATTGGATGGTGAGTACTTGAATTGCTTTTTAGATGAGTTGTTTGTGACATGTAGAATAGCAAACCAGGAGCAGGTGGTGAGTTGGTTCGCTGGTGAGAGTTGTTGGTTGCTACTGTGGAGGAACTGAGGTGGCAGCATGCTTCTGAACACCAGTTGCTGGGAACCACAGGAGGGGAAAGTGCTGTCTTGCTCAGGTCCTGCATGCAAGCTTCCCACAGGCACCTGGTGAGAACAGGGTTCTGGACTAGATGGGTCATTGGGCTGATCCAGAAGGTTGTCCTTACACTCAAATGTCTGTCTCTCCCACAGGGGAATTCTCCAGTAGTGATGATGCAATCACCAATGAAGAATTGCAACAAACATCTGAGCAGCTTTACCAAAGCGATATTAACAGAGCTGGGGAGGCTGATATCACCCTTAACAAGCAACACTTAGCTTCAAAGAATCAGGACCAGTCACCAGAACCGTGAGTTCCACACAGACTTGATGCATGAAGGTGCCCTGTTTTTAAGAGCATTAAGTCTCTGGCTACTGGATCAGGCCAGTGGCCCACCTCTACTCCAGCATCCTGCTCTCACAGTGGTCAACCAGATGCCCCCAAAGTGAAAACCCCAAGCAGGACCTGAGCACAGCTGTATTCTCCAGTTGCAGCTCATGATTTGGTATTCAAAGGTAGACTGTTCTTGTCTGCCATGTCCACCCTTTCCCAGGCCACAAAAAGCACTCTGCAGGTGCCCCAAGACCATTCAATGTTAGTGTTACACATTTCCAAGGCTGGCACTGAAATAACTTGCGGCGGGAGCTCTGATAAAACCCTATCAAGCTAGACTTAAGCAGCTGCAACTCCAGCGATGGAGCTGAAGCTGGCATGCATTTAATGTTTGTAAAGAGCAGATTCAAAATAATTATTCTTGTTCAATTGAGTGGATGTATCTTGTCTTCCACTGGGGAAGTCTGCCCCCTGGTGGCCGCTTGGGTCCTGCAGCGGTTTAAGAGAGAGAGAGAGAGAGAGAGAGAGAGAGAGAGAGAGAGAGAGAGAGAGCTGCAGCTGTGGGATGCAGCTGTTTAAAAGTGCAACTGAGCTCAGCATCTTTCCACTTCCTGCTAACCCAGAGGCACGCCCTGCAGGTAGGAGACTAGGGTTGTTGGAATTGCAGACTGGGGGTTTCAGACACGCAAAGGGATTCTTCCAGCATGAAGGCTGCTCTGGTTATCCAAACTAACCATAGTAATAATTTGGTTGTATTTTACAAAGCACTTCAGGGCGGTTCAGACGCTTCCTTCCAGAAAGCCCCCCCTGCCTGTGAAATCTTCCAGAAAGCCCCCCCTGCCTGTGAAATCTTCCTAACAGCCTTGTGAGGGGGGCTCGTTCCTATGTTTGTAGCAAATGGTTTTGGAAGCAGGTGGCAGTTTACGAAGATGCTGGCTTTGTTTGATCATTTGTATTTTGCTGCCTATAAACCTTACTTGGTCTGCGTTAATTTTCTTGCCCTTACTGGCAGTGGCGGTGGCAAGCGGCGGGGGTGGGCAGGGGATTTACGTATTTCTATGGGGAAAAGATTAATGTCATAAATTCATTTAGTGACAATGACAAAGCAGATGCCACTTGAAAATAAATATTAGAAATGTTAAACAATCCAGAAAAAATTAAGGAGCATTTCATAAATTACTATAAAAATTTATATATAGTAGAAGAGAAGGATGAAAATAAAACAGAATTCCTGACCAAGAATATATTACTATTGATAAAAAACCCCTATAAAACATTTTAAAATATATAAAAACATTTTAAACATTTGCTGCGGCAACACCAGTGTCCTTAAAACAGGAGAGGTGGCGAGTGTGGGCCCCGCCCCCTAGGCCTGGTGGGGTGGGCCTACAGGAGGGAGCGGCCTTCCTCAACCCCCACGGTGCAGCAGCAGCAGCAGTGGTGTCCCGGTGCCTCGTGAGGCCTCTTAGGCTGTTGCGATGGTGAGTCAGTCTGGGCCCCTCCCTGGGCCAGGTGGAATCAGCCTGAGGAGGGAGCGGCCTTCCCAACTCACAGTGCAGCAGCAGCAGCAAACTTCATACCTGTGGTCCATAACTGTTCCCAGTCAGCCATCATAATGTTATGTCCAACATCCTGTGCCCATTTAATCATAGCAGATTTCACCGTCTCGTCCTGAGTGTTCCATTTCAACAGCAAACATGGACTGGCCTTTTGCCCTGCAATGGACAAATGCCCCACCACGCAGGAGGGCTTCGGCAGCTCAGACCATCCCATACTCTGCCATCATCAGCAATGCATAGTTCACATCCTCTTGGTAGTACATGGGGTTGGCGTTCCTCTCCAGCAGCTCATGAAGGACCTCAACCCATCTGTCATCTTCTACCACGGTGCTGGAGCTTCACAAGAAAACAAGGCAAATATAAAACACCACCATGACCATAGGAGGAGGGCAAAGTTCTGCAGTGGTAGTGGTGGTGGTTTGGTAACAATTAAGAGCCAGTCAGTAGACAGCTCAGAGGGAAGAGCGGTATGCCAATGAGAAGCCATGTTATTCTGGGCCACATTCTGGGGGCCACATGCCAGTGGTGGGCAGGGCCAGAGTGAGTAGGAGAAACTAATGTGATTTTTTATTTTATTTTTTTACCATTAGACCACCAGGTCCATCTAGCTCAGTACTGTATGCACTGGCTGACAGCAGCAACAGCTCTGCAGGGTTTCAGGCAGGGGATATTATAAGCGCCAACTTGGAGATGCCATTAGGGACTGAACCTGGGGCCTTCTGTATGTGCATAAGGTGCTCTCCCCTTAGCCATGGCCCTTTCCCTGAAAGGTGGGGTTCCGTTTGCGCATTTCATGGTATTTATACACCGCTTGCTTGTAGAAAACCCTCAACCATCCTAGTCCTCATAGTTTTGAAGAATGGGCTGAATTGAATAAGAACCCAGCTCAGTATTGTCTACATTGACGGGGAAGCAGCTTCCCAGTTACCTTTCCATCATTTCCTGCAGCACAGGATCCATACATTCCAAGATCTCGTCGACCAACGGCTGGTACTCAAAGATGATCTGGTGGAAGCCATGGAGAAAAGACATTCTGCCCCACCCCCCTGCGTTGATTCATTCAGGAAATGGTCTAAAGCTTCTTCCTCGGCCTACCAAAAAATAAATTCTTCATCATCACATTATTTTAAACTACTCACACACACACACACACACACACACACACACACACACACCCATCCAGGAAACAAGAGGCATTATCACATTTCAAGGATAAATTGCAGCCAGGCACAATCATTCATGGAGGGTGTGGCCTGGAGGAAGTCCCAAGGGCCACACAGAGAGGCCTCAAGGGCCAGATCTGTACCCCCACTGTCCCAGGCATAAGATTCCCTACTCCTGCTTTTGAAAAAGCACCATCTTAAAAGAGCTGTGTGAGAGGAATGCTGTGACCTTGGTCGCAAACTGTAAAGGGAACTTGTCATTTTTAACCTGTCAAAAAGGTAGTTTTTAAGCCAGTTTCAAACCTTTGGGAGTAAATTGCCATGAGTATAGTGCATTTGAAGGGGAAACTCTGGGTGCACCAGACAAAAATGACTTGTGGTAAAAATGGGCCCCTGGGCCAGCAATAAGCCTTTCAGGGCTAGTCACTCAAGGGAACTTTCTGCAAGGCTGTCAGAGGTTAAGGAGACAGGCTTTGCCAGGGTCCATCCTTAAGACGCCACAGCAACAAAACAACTTGATGTCTTGGGAGACCAGGGGCATGCAGGGCTCCTGCTCTCAGCTTGCTAGGGCAGGATGGAACTGGGGCCACCCCACCCAGGAGTCAAGAGACTAGTAGCTCATGACATGACATTCCTGTCTTGGGAAGGAGTGATATAGTGGCAAGTAGAAGGCTAGCCCCTTAGATCTTGAGTAGGAAAACTAAAGCCTGGAGGCCGAATCTGGCCCAATCGCCTTCTCAATCCGGCCCGTGGACAGTCCGGGAATCAGCGTGTTTTTACATGAGTAGAATGCATCCTTTTATTTAAAATGCATCTCTGGGTTATTTGTGGGGCATAGGAATTCATTCATTCATTTCCCCCCAAAAAATATAGTCTGAGGGACTGGCCCCCTGATGAAAAAGTTTGCTGACCCTGCTTTAGATGCATGCCTTTATGTGGAGTAGCACAGTCATTAACCCAACAGGTCCAGAGTTTCCTTGCCCCTCCAGTCCTAGAAAAGAACTCTCGATTGCAAATGCCATTGCCCTGTTGATAGAGAATCAGAGCTGTAGCGCCATTCATAACGTAAGAATATTCTTCACAATTATGAGCAGGGCAGTGGAGACAAGCTGCAAGCGGCAGCAGCCTATGATTCTATGAAATTAACCCAGAGCAAGAGATGTGATCTCACAGTGTTCAAAAAGCTAAAGAGACCCTCTCCTTATCAAGAAGGCCACCTGACTTCTTTCCAGGGGCAAGATGGGTCTGCATTTCAGATCCACCCTCCCTCAAGAAAACTACTACTACTTTTTTTAAGCTACCACATTTCCACTGTAGGATAGAAAAGCTATTTGCCACATGACTCCTGGAACCTGGGGTTACGGGTGCAAAACCAGAATGGCTATCCCCCACTCCTCACCCCGTACGCAGCAGCACTTTCTATAATAATTTTTTGTAGAGAATTTATTTGGCTATTTTTGCAATTTGCGGCATTTGGAAGGTTGCAATCAGCCACAGCAAAACAGGTTGTACAGAGAGCACAGTGGGACTTAAGTTTAGGCATGTATAGGACAGTAAAACCCAATGAACATCATGGCTGAGTGGGGATTTGAACCTGGGTCTCCCCAATCCTAGATCTACAGACTCTAACCACTACACCACACTGCTCGCACTGGGCTCAAACCTTCTTCACTTTGCAAAGTCACAGCTTCTGAGATTGGTGCTGCTGCTAGTGAAGGGACACTGCCTCACTCTAGTCCATTCATGCCCACATAATGTGATTATTTTCCAGGTTCTGATGTTTTCATTTCTGTCAAGGAAAGCACTTCCCTGTAAATGGTGCAGGAGCACTCGTGCAAACCTTTCCCAAAAAGTAGGGAATGCTGTACCATTTCTTTCTTTGAAGGGTTGGCCCAGCCCCAAATTGCCACTGCAGCTGTCGCTCGTTAACTCCATGAGTAGACTAAGAGGAAGTCCGTGGGAAATGTTAAAAGGGAAAGGCTACCCTTCTGACATAAAAAACGGGGTTTCCCCAAGAAAAGGCACCTCCAGTAAAAAAAAAAAACCAACAACAGCTGCAATTAATGCTAACCATGGGGTAAAATTTTGAATGGGGCAAGCATTCTAATGACCAAGAGGAGGTGTGGGGAATGCTGTGCCCCCTGCCCCTGGATGTTACTGAACTACAACACAACTCCAGCCATTCCTTGCCACGCCAGGCTGATGAAAGATTCTCCGTCCCTGGAGTAATAAGCTATCCAATTTAGCCTGTATATTTTTCTTGCACTTAGTAAACAAAGCTAAAAAGTTTGAACCTGCCAAGCTAATATTTATTTTCAAGCCTGCTTTGTCATCGTCACTAAATGAATTTATCTTTTCCCCATAGAAATACGTAAATCCCCTGCCCACCCCCGCCGCTGCCGCCGCCACTGCCAGTAAGGGCAAGAAAATTAACGCAGACCAAGTAAGGTTTATAGGCAGCAAAATACAAATGATCAAACAAAGCCAGCATCTTCGTAAACTGCCACCTGCTTCCAAAACCATTTGCTACAAACATAGGAACGAGCCCCCCTCACAAGGCTGTTAGGAAGATTTCACAGGCAGGGGGGGGCTTTCTGGAAGGAAGCGTCTGAACCGCCCTGAAGTGCTTTGTAAAATGCAACCAAATTATTACTATGGTTAGTTTGGATAACCAGAGCAGCCTTCATGCTGGAAGAATCCCTTTGCGTGTCTGAAACCCCCAGTCTGCAATTCCAACAACCCTAGTCTCCTACCTGCAGGGCGTGCCTCTGGGTTGGCAGGAAGTGGAAAGATGCTGAGCTCTAGAGTTGCACTTTTAAACAGCTGCATCCCACAGCTGCAGCTCTCTCTCTCTCCTGATTGCTCGCTCTCCCCACAGTTTTCATCTAAGTGCCCTGAGTGGCCTCCTGCCCTGCCAAGCAGAAACACAACCAAGTAAATGTAGATGATGCTCAACCGGTTGCATCTCAGCTACAGGAAACAGGTTTTAAAGGAGGGAGGTGGAATCCACCTATTTAACATTCTAGTGCTTAAAACAAAGGTGGGAATACTCATTGAGATTCTCAACTTTAAAATTTGCATGTGGACATCCAAAATCTAAAAATTTCAGTTCAAGTGGATATTCAATTTACAATTTTTAAGGGGAAACTATTCCTTTTACTTGGGACGCAGGTGGCGCTGTGGGTAAAAGCCTCAGCGCCTAGGGCTTGCCGATCGAAAGGTCGGCAGTTCGAATCCCCGCGGCAGGGTGAGCTCCCGTTGCTCGGTCCCAGCGCCTGCCAACCTAGCAGTTCGAAAGAACCCCTGGGTGCAAGTAGATAAATAGGGACCGCTTACTAGCGGGAAGGTAAACGGCATTTCCATGTGCGACTCTGGCTCGCCAGAGCAGCAATGTCACGCTGGCCACGTGACCCGGAAGTGTCTCCGGACAGCGCTGGCCCCCGGCCTCTTGAGTGAGTTGGGCGCACAACCCTAGAGTCTGTCAAGACTGGCCTGTACGGGGCAGGGGTACCTTTACCTTTACCTTTATTCCTTTTACTGGGCTTTTGTGCATCACTACTTTGGAAGCAAGAGTTGAGTTACAGCCAAAAAACAATTATACTTTTTTGAATGTCGGGTATCAGCCTTCCTATTTTCTTTAATGCTATAACATACACATGAGTAATACCGATTACTGAAATCTCAAGCAAATTTTCCTAGCATGCAGCTTAATCCTATCCATTTTTACTTGGAAGTGCCACAGTGTTCATTGAGGCATTATCCCAGATCAGCATACATAGGATTGCAAAATTACAAATTTCATTTTGGTTGCATATCTAAAGTTCCACCTGTATCAAAGGAGTTCTCACTGAATCTGCATCCCATCAGATGGTGGATCTCAAGCAGAGGATAGAACCCTTAAACTGCAATCCTATGCTCACTTCCTGGGAGAAAGTCTTAAGGGGCACAAAAGAACTGTGCAAAATACACGGTTAAACCAAGAAGACTTTAAGATTTACTTCCTGTAATAAAAATATTTCACCATAAATGTGAAATTTTGCATTTAGATTTTAATATTTCACCAAAGTTCATATCTATCTGAAATTTCATCTTCAATTTCATTTCCTAATGACTGAGTGACAGACCTCAGTGACTGGAGACATTAAGTTACTTCCAATGTTATTGCTGAATTGTACTGGAAGAGGGAAATTCTCATTTCCTTTTAAATTAGACAGATGCCTCAAAGGCACGCCCATTCTCTTCTAGGATTCTTTCCAATGAATAGAAGCAGTACATGGTGCCAGTCCTCTTCCCAGTCTCCTCCCTCTTCTCCATCTGCCCACTCATCCTTGTCGCACCACCACCTGGGCTCTGAGCCTTCTTCACTTTGGGATTCCCCAGCTGGTTTCTCTCACCATTCCTCTCCGTCCAGCCAGACCGTGACACTCCCCGCATGCTAGATTTGTATGATTAGAAAGTTGTTTCTTTTTAATACAAGGCAACGTTCAGTTGTGTGTTCCCTGAAGTAGTACAGTCCAGGCAGAGGGCATTTAATAGGAAACATTCCATTTCTGTGTGCTTCGGCTCCTAACCTCAGCAGAGTGTTTAGCTGGGGACCCCGTAAGAAGAAAAAAGACCATCTTCATAGCAGGTATTTTTGTTTGTGTGTGTGCAGGCTCTTCAGCTACGTCAACCAGGAGAAGCTCTTCTCCAAGCCTACTTATGCCAGTTTCATTAAGCTGCTGGATAATTACCATAAAAGTGTAGGGACAGGGGAAGAATTCACTGCTGAGCAACTGAAGGAGCAGGATAACTTCCTGAGTGAGGTCATGAAGACTGAGGTGATGAAAGTGCTTTACAAATTCCTGCACAGCAAACGTAAGTCTTTCTTCATAATAAGGTCTCTGCCAGCATAGCCACTATGGTCCCTCCAGGTGTTGTTGACTACCACTCCCATCAGCCCAGACCATGGCCCATGCTACCTGGGGCTTATGGGTATTATAGTCCAAATTTCTGGAGTTGGATACGCCTGATCTATGCAACTGAATTTAAGGGCCTTTTTGGTAGTAGCATCCGAGTTATGGGGTTCCCTCCCCAGAGAGGCCCCTTCCAGGTAAAGACGTTTTTTCCAAGGCCTTTTAAATTCGTGGAATGTTCTCCCCAGGGAGGCTCACCTGGCTCCTTTGTTATACACCTTTAGGCATCAGGCACAACCGTTCCTCTTCAACCAGGCCTTTGGCTGATTGACATCCTTTTAAATGTGTTTGTGGGAGGAGGTGGGAGGGGAGGGAGATTTGTTGGTTGCAATTGTTTTTATTGCGTATTTTGTGTTTTTACCTTGTATTTCTATGTTGTGAAATGCCCCAAGGTCTATGGATGAAGGGAGATATAAAAAAGAAATAAATAAAAAGAAATAATAATTCTTAATATATTTTGGAGAGCTTTTTCCTGCTATTTTATGTGGCTGCTGTTTTATCTAAGGTGTGTTTGTGTGCTGGGGTGGGTAGTGGCAGTGCCTGTTGGATGATGAGTGAGTGCAACATCATTGCCCAAAACCCTCCTGTATCTATTCTCTCAATTGTATATCCCTCTCTTTCCTTGATATTGTAGTTTTCATTTTTGTGTTGTTTTAAAGGAAATCTCTCTAGTGCTGGGAACCCCAAGAGTCTTGGGGCACAAGTCATGACAGTTTAAACATTTTAGTGCAAAGTCTGGCTTTCATTCAAACACTACTTTTTCTGTGAGTGTCACATCATTAGTAAACACAGCTGGTCCCCATTGCTTCACCCAAGCTATGCAGAACATTAAAGGGGAGATATAGGATTTCTTTGGGATATTTTATTTTGGTTCTTTTGAGTGAGAAATTAATGCCTTTTGTCTTCCCCTCCCCATCTCTTTCCTAGATCGTTATGGCACAGAGGCAGAGTTTGTTGCTGACCTAAAGGAGATATGGTTTGGCCTTTATTCCAGGGGCAAAGATGAGCATGACTCCAGTGGCTTTGAACATGTGTTTATAGGTACACTCATAAAAACCAATAAACCTCCACCTTCCACAGTTTCATGCAATTACCCACCTCCACTTATTTGCAAGCGTTGTTTGCCCCATCTGATGCTGTTTTGACACCATTTTTTAAACTTGAGAAAGTTTCTATTTTGAATTATCTAAACAATTAAGAAGCACATGATGATATTGCAACAGCATGTAGCCAGTCAGGTCTAGAAACAGGGTGGCACCATTAGCTTGAATCTACTAGCCTTCTCTGTGGTTTTGGCTACATGAACATTTGCACAGGAAGACTCAAACTGGCATTAATATATACAGTACTAGACCGCAGGGCAGCTTGCACCACTCCCCTGGGTTCCCTCCAGCTGCACTGTTGCTGCTTACTGGCATGGAGAAGAAGAGGGGCAAGGCAGTGGCAGTGGCAGTGTGCTGGCCCAGTTGCACTGCACTGACTTCATTGCCACTTCACACCTCTGCAACCAGGTTGGCTGAACGGTGCAGCCCGACCACAACATCTGTTGCTGCATATATATATGCAGATAAATACATATTTTCCTTTTGTTGTTCTCATCACCCAGAAGTAAACTTAAAATGCCCATATTTAGTGGCAGCAGGATTTACTAGCCATTAATGGAAAATGTTCTTTACTTTTTAGGGGAAGTCAAGAAAGGAAAAGTATCTGGATTCCACAACTGGATTCGTTTTTATCTGCTGGAGAAGCAGGGTATAATTAACTATTTCAGCTACAACTATGATGGTCCGGTGAGTATCACTAAGAATGGCTACAGTCTTCCAGACTCTTTGAAGGCATCTTGGAGAATGAAAGTTCCATTAAATAAAAATAAAAATCCAGAAATTTTGCATAACAGCTAAAATGAGACACAGACTCTTACCTCAATGACTGCAAACATTTATTTTTTTACTAATTTTTATTACTTTGTCATAAGTTATGTACAAACTAACACTTAGCCATGTAAACAATAACAGAACCACGCATAGATCAAGCATTTTAGAAAATTTATTTTAGTGCCACAGAAAGGAGCAAATGTTGGTGGGGCAGTGCCCAGTTGCCCCAGTAAACCAGCCTCTGCTGCCTGTTCCTAGTCTCCCTGCTCTAACAGCCATGTGCCTGATATATAGCAATAAACAACAAAGGGCTTCATTTGGAGGTGCCTCTCCACAAAATACTGCCCTACACTGCCACCTAGGGTTGGGTGACAGAATGAGATGATTCCTAAGAAGCATATTTTTCAGGGGGAATGAAAATGCTTGATGCCAGACTCACTTACTGCCTATAGCAAAGCTCAAACCAGTCTATTAAGTAAACTTCATTCTGCCGTTTAACTGAACTCTCTTAGGCTGTGGTCCTGAATTTCGCACCTGGGGCATCCTCAGCATCTCTCTAGTGACCACCGTGGTGCATCCTCAGGCATCTCCTCTAGTGACCACCAAGGTCCAAGCCTATTATGTTAATTAAAACAAAAGCCTCGGGGGGGGGGGAGGATTGTGTGATAGAGAAGTTTCCTGCTGTTTTTATCTGTAAAATAACACTCTTTTGGGGAAAGTGTTAGGTGTTTTGCGAGGAGGGAGTCCTGAGCACTGGCAATTTTCTTCTGTGAAATGGGCATGTTGTGGTGCCCATGGCAATTCCTTAGATTTACAATGTGTTCCTGAGTCCCCAAAGGTTGGGGACCTCTGTTCTTAGAACACCTATTTTAGAGGGTGCCTCCCATTTGAAAGGTCACAATCTGTTATTTTCTGAACACCAAGAGAAGGTAAAGAGGAACAGAGCACAGGGAATACGTATTCTGACTTAGTTTTTCCAAAGTATTATATGGCTGCTTTGCATCTCAAGGCAGTAAAATGTAGATCCATCAGCACCAAAAAGGCTGTCTCTCTCTTGACCTAGTCTATGGGCAGCCTGTGCATAAGACCTCTGAGGGCAATCTCAAGGCCTGGGCAGGTTTACCTGGGTACAGTTGGCCATAGGAACAGAGAAAGCAGCCGTCTCATGAGTCTCATGAGTCCCTTTAGTTGGTCCATTTAGCTCAGTATTGTCTATATCAACTGGCTGTGGCTCAACAGGGTTTCAGGCAGGGGACAATCCCAGCCCTACCTGGTGGTTCCAGGTCCTTCAAATAACCTGGTTCCAAACAGTTTAGGGCTTTTTAGGCTGGAAACAAACAAGTAACCAATGCAGCTGACACATTACAGATGTTATCTGCTCAGACCATGTGCCCCCACAAGCATCCAAGTGATTTCCAAATTACCTTTAAAAGCAGTCCGTCCACCCACTTTATCTGCACCTCATGCAGAGCACATTGCAATCATCTAGCCTTATTTACCCATAAGATGAACCCCTCAACTCTCACAAAAAAGTATACCTGTATTCTTCTGCCAAACATTGGAGGTGCGGCATGCTAGACCACTTAGGTACCACCATCAACACAAATACTCATATCCTCAGAATTGGGGAGTTTTCACAGCTTACCCCCCCCCCCCAATGTCTTTAAATATCCTCCTTAATAATTTCTGGTGCTTTCGTTTTCCGGTTTAGTGGACCTCATACCCAGATGTGTTGGGGCTGCAGTTCAATTGGGATGGATTTTACAAGGAGGTTGGAACAGCCTTTATTGGAAGCAGCCCTGAATTAGAATTTGGACTCTATTCACTGTGTTTCATTGCTAGGCCTGGAAAAGTGTGAGTATAATGACATTTACAGGACATTTACATAACTATTGTGTCTATAGACCTCTCCAGTGTGTTGTGTTCTTTTTAGAAAAAAGGGTGCTGGTACTCACCATGAAGTACAATGAGTGCCCCCAAAAGCCGCCATAGTATGCAAGGGAAAGGGAAAGGGGAGGAGGAGGGGAGAGCAAGCTCAAGCTCTTAAAGCTGCAGTTCCTAATTCATTACTATAAATGCAAAATAAGTTCTTAAAGATACAGTTCCTAAATCAGCAATATATGATTTTTTTTTTCATGTCTCCTGCCCAGACTGATACCTCAGTCAGTGAAGCATGAGACTCTTAATCTCAGGGTTGTGGGTTCAAGACTCACGTTGGGTGAAAGGTTCCTGCATTGCAGGGGGTAGGACTAGAGGACTATCGTGGTCCCTTCCAACTCTACAATGCTATTATTCTTCCTCTTCCTGCACTCCTTACCACCAACCACATTTTATTACAGTTTAAACCCCTTAATTAGCCATTAGGACTGTGAAAATACCCCGATTCAGTTCAAGGCCCAAATCAGTTCCTAATAGGATCAGGGCCTAATTAGGATCACTGATCAAAGTCTGAACTGCTTTGGGGGTCCTTTGCACAGCTGTACTAATTGTATCTGTGGCATCTAGTCCCTGCTGTGCAGGCTGCAAAGCAAGCATGGGGTTTGTCTACTGCCTTTGGAATGGAGAGCCAAATACTTTGTTAGTTCAGATGACAGATGGTCAAGAGGAGGGTGCAGATAAAATTTGAGAGAGAGGACAAGGCAGGTGGCTCAGGAACAGTATTTTATTTCATAAAATGTATATGCCGCTTGATCGTAAAAAATAGAGAAAGGAAAAGAAAAGCCTCAAAGTGGTACGGAGCAGGTTCACCAAAACACAATAAGTTGACTTACTGTTTGTGGATGTTGCAGCCGTCTTATGACTGGTTCTGCTCATGTTCAGTTCACACAGTCCAGGACAATCCGTGTCTTGGAAATAGGTTGAGTTGTGATCTGGATGTTTTTTTGTAAGGCTGATGTTTCCACATGCACCAGTCTGTGGGAAAGGGAGAGGGAAAGGGTGTTGGTGGCAATGCAAAGCTGACTTGAATAAGAACTAGTTTTCTCCCAGTGTGGAACTTCTGATTGGAACTGTGGTCTGGTTCAAAAGAAAGAGCTGAAGGTTTGAGTAGCAAGATTATTAAATGTCAATCTTCTGTTCTTCAGGTGTCAACTGAAAATTGGGGGCCATGACCTGGGGATTCAGACTTATACCTGGGATAAATCCACCTATGGGAATGGGAAAAAGTACATAGCCACAGCTTATGTGGTTTCCCCATGATGCTACAAGATCCTGAGTATGAAAACATCCTGAATGGCCAGATGCAGCCTGCATGATGCAACCACATTTGTATGGGAGCTGCTCTACATAGCCTTTCATCTTTCGATTGAACATTTTTGTCTGTTTGTTTGCCTAAGTCATATGGAGTGTGCAACAGGTCTTGTGACTGGAACTCATCTGTGACAGTGAGCACCATTCATGCTCCAAGTAATACTCTGCCAGAAGTGACTCCACATTTTGCCTAAAGCACAGTCCAAGGTGGATTCACAAAAAACACCTGGATAATGTAAATGGAAAGTGAAACAATCATCATCAACAACAACTGGGGAAAAACAAACTTTTCTATCCCACCAACGTAAGAACATAAGAGGAGCCTTACTGGAGGTCCATCTCGTCCAGCTTCCTGTTCTCACAGTTGCCAACCAGGTGGCCATGGAAAGCCCACAAGGAGGACATGCACTGGGGCACCCTCCACATTTTTGATCCCCAGCAACTGGTATTTAAAGGCATGTCACTTGAGACACTGAAGGCAGTAAACCACCACCATCTCTAGGAACCACTGGTAGTCGTATCCTTCTATCTAAGGCAAAATTTGGTATAAAATGGAGGTTCCTACCCCCAAGAAATTTCACAGGGAGCCAAACTAGAGCCAAGAATGCTAGCAACATTTCTCAGCAAGGGTGGGTCCAGGGTTGATGGTGTCCTCCAGGCAAATAGTACTCTAGTGAGCCCCCTGATCTGTCACTGGGTCCTCGAAGGCTGATCTAGCTCTTGTGGCAACACTCTAAGCAACACTGAGCAGCTTAGAGTGGTTAAGTATCCTCCTTTAAAGACAATATTTGAAAGGTTGACGGAAGACATTCCACTATTTGAAGGAGGTTGTCTGGTCCAATAACCCTAAAAAGGGTGACCTTGAAGGTGACGATCAATAGTTACTACCTGGAGAGCGAACCAAACAGGCAGACCCACAGGTCCCCTGGCCTTTCCTATTATGGTGTGATGTATTGTATTTTTGTTAGTAGTTCTTTCCAAAATTGCAACTTTACATATAAACAAGTGCCTGCAAATTTCGTGGTCTTCCTTTCCTGGTGATGCATAAATTACCCCCTTAGGGTTGCTGGGTGTAATCATGTATTAAATTTTCCGCAATGCTCCGGAGGAGAGTGGGGAACCTCCAAACACACAGGCTGAATTAGGCCCATCAGGCCTCCCCATTAGGATATTTTGGCCAAGCCACATCCTCCTGCCCTAGATATCAGGTGTGAGGCAGTGAAAGATGCAGCAGGGCCAAAGGGGCTTTGCTTCCAAAGTGTCACACTTTGAGCAAGCCCTGGCAACCAGCTCCACACCCTGCCCCCCCAACACTGTATCTATTTTATTTTATTTTTATTCTGTCATTGCCACCAAAATTGACTGGTTTGGACCTCTTCCCCTCTGATAAATGGGCTTCCAGTGAGGTCATACTGGGGGTTAGTCACCTCTGGCCTAAGGAGTCAAGTACCTTCTGCTCCATCTTGCCTGCCCAGCAGTATTCCATCAGAAAGGCATCCCTTTCAAGTCACCACTGGCAAATCAAAATGTGAGCACTTTAGAGATGTAGTCATTGCCTGTTTGATTTGACTTTGGTAGGTATCAAATCTGAGATCTCAAACTCTCCCAATGGTCCAATATTAAATGCCACAGCATGTTAACTAACAAAAAGCTGTCACATCTTAAATGAAGAAATCAGATGTAATATCAAATACTCCCATTACATACCCTTAAGCTGAAAATATCCAAACTTGTGAGCATTGCAGTCCGTCAGCAAGCTGTTTGTTCTCTGGAGAAAGCCTTAATGAAAGCAGGCTGACCTGCAGCCACTTGGGGGCGCTTGAGGCACACTGTTTCCTGCTATGGACCTTGGCTGAAGGACTCCACATTCAAGGTGTTCTGTATCCACGAGCAAAATGCCTGACAAGTTTGATGGGTGTAGAAAGGCAAAGGTGTGGGAAGTTCCTTTCTCACAGCCCCGCTCTCACCCCTGGTTCCTGAATTCAGCTCCTTTGCTGTCCGCTCTCCCCACCATCACCGAGGCAATTGCCCATGGCCAGGAAAAGTGAACATGTGGCATTTCAGAAATTGCTGGACTGTCACCCCTGATCATTGGCCATGCTGGCTAGGGCTTATGGGAGATGGAGTCCAACAACATCTGGAGAGCCAAGGTTCCCCATATATGTTTCAGTAGGAGAGGAGTCACGCTTTCTGCCATTTGCTCTCTCCAACACCCCTCAAGTCCTGAGTCCCAAAGACAACGATGTTGTCCACCAAGTCCTGTCCTATTGGACTCCTTCTCATTGCCTGAGATCCCATTTCTATTCCATGTGGTAGCTAGTGTCTGGTAGGACCTGTGGGGGAGAATGCAGCAGTCTTTCGCCCAACACGGACCAAGTGGCAAAGCCATTTTTCCAAACCCAGCCCTGCCCGCTGTCTTCCCAAACTGCTTGACTCCTTATTTTAATGCTCCCCCATACTGTGGGTAGCCATGTGTACAACATTACAGAGGACAGTCCACTGTCTCAAGGCATCCTTTTTTTAAGGGATGGAGAACATCTGTGGCCTTACAGATGTTGTGGGACTCCCGACTCTCATCAACTCCCATCACCATTGTCAATGGTCAGGGATGATGATGGGAGTTGTAACTCCAACAATATTAAGGAGGCTGCAGGTCCCCCAAATCTGCTTTGTTTGAAGGGTTGTGAAGTCCATGTCCAGATTAAGATGAAGAACCTTAATGTGGGGGTAAGTGGGAGCAGGAGGGGCCTTGAAGCCAGCAATCAACATTTAGAACTTGGGCAGCAGGTGGACCAAGCCCACAGGTTGCCTGGTCATAGTCTTCCCCACTATGCCAAGATGTGCTGCATTTCTATTGAAGTTACACTAATATTTTTTCTAAATTTGCATCTGTATTAGGAGATGGATTTTTTCTGCAACATAATGCCCTCTTTTGATGCATTCTTTTCCTTTTTTGCCAGAACATAAGTAGCCACACTGCCCAGTCCATTGACCAATGGGAGCAACAGGAGAACTAAACTGCCCTCCATGTGCACAGCTGAGTCCATCTAGCTTCTTGGCTGTGCTGCTATGTCAAGGCTGTCACAGTCAAGCTAATCTCAAAGTTAGAAACACACCAGAGCCAGCAAGACTATTCTTGCTCAGGCATGGTCTCCCAGTGCAAACAAGGAAGCTTGTCCAAGAAAGCCCAATGGCCAGCCTGGATGGACAGGACCAATGAAACACCTCTGAGTACTTGACTGCCAGGGAGATGCTCCAATCAGGTTGCTCAGCCAAGGGGCAACTTTACAGAGAGCCAAAAGTTCCTGGTTCCAACACTGGCATTTCCTGACCTACTAAGATAGTGTGACAGAATGTTATGAGAAGAGAAAGAGAAAGAGAAAGAGAAAGAGAAAGAGAAAAGAGAAAGAGAAAGAGAAAGAGAAAGAGAATCACAAGGAATGGATTTTATACATCTATTTCTATAACCCTATAAAGGAGAAGAAACCAGGGCTTTGTTTCAGCCAGAACTTGCTGGAACTCAGTTCTAGCACCTCTCAGGTGGGTACCATTTCCATTATAAGAGAACAAGGGAGGCGTTCATGGTGAGTTCCAGCACCTCTTTTTCTAAAAGAACAGCACTGGCACAACCCTTATTTTTGCAGGGAGAAGGGAGCAGGCAGGAATAAAGCATTCTACCTCTAATGGCTCTTGGCCAGATGTGAAATAGGACTAAAACTTGGAGGAAAGTGGATGGACACCTCCTCCCTCTGTTCCGCTGACTGGAAACAGGTGGTCTCCAACCCTGTGTTGGAGATAGAAGCCAGATGTTTATGGTGAGTTGATCCCAGCAGATAGATTTTCTGCAAGCAAATGGTCTCTAGTGTATTCCACCATGCCCATGAACCAGGCTACCAGTCTTCACATGAAATTGGTTTGAACCTAACTTGTCTGCAGTAAGCTGTTACTTTAAACCACAGTTTCCCCAATTCAGATGTAATAGGAAATGGAAGTTCGTTTAAAGATTTCAGTTTCCTCCCATCACATGCAGAGGGGAGAAAGTGGGAGTGCACGAATCCAAGATTCATTGCAGCTCACCCCCCACGGCTTAGCATTACAACTGAACTTGATCACCGCATTCAATGGGAGCTTACCTCCAAATAAATGCACAACAGTCTGTACAATCCCTTGAATGGCAGAACCCATTGTAACTGGAGGCTAGCCACCACACTGAACCTCCAGTTGCTGTTAAGTTATGAAACTCTTTCCTCCAAGTTAATACACGCTAACCATGCCAGAGGATTGGTGCAGACCCAGTGATCTGCAACAGCATTCTTGAGACTTGTTGCTTAGGGTGACAAACCCATCTACCAGTCCAAAGTGTTGCCAGCTCTGCATCAGCTCTTTTGCCTGTTGCCCCTTCCTCAGCCAGTGTGAGAAGGAGCAGTAGTTTCAGGAGCGGCGGCAGCAGCAGCAACCCCAGGTCCCAGGGTGGAGATACAGCTTGAACAGGGGCCTAGTGAACGCTGAGCTTCAAGCGGGAGCCGCTGGGAGCTGGGACATCCGTGGCCTGACAGATGGCTCAGCTGCAACAGTTTCTGAGCAAAGGGGCGGGCCTCCCTCCACCATCTGCCAGGGGGTCACAGGTGACACCCAAACATTGTGGTGGGCGGGGTGGGGGATGGAGGAGAGAAGTTGCAGACAAGAGAGAGAGAGAGAGAGAGAGAGAGAGAGAGAGAGAGAGAGAGAGAGATATGCCAGGGCTTGATTTATAGAAATGCATTTGCTTATTGAAGCCTATGGCTGGCTCCACAGGGCTTCGGCAGGAGAGTTGGTTTATTCCAAGTGACTCTGCAGCCAGTTTACAGCTGTGGCCTGCATAGGCTTCCCTAGTGGAGTGAGAAGGGGAGGGCCATGGACCCCCCCCCCCGGCCAACAGCACTTGAGCTGCCATGAAGGGGGTGGGGGTGAACTGGCCAAAAGGGACACAGCACACCACACATAGCACAGTTGGCCAGTTTTTATTTGGATTGCTCCCCACTGCTGTTTACCTTGTGGGATTTGGCCTCTGCTGAACATCTCCATCTAACAGGAACCTCAATTTATTCAAGGTTGGGGGCTTCCCAGCGCAGTGAAAGCACCAAGGAGAAGCTTGTTTGTGCTGTTGTACCTCTTAGAAGCTGATGGGTGGCTTAAGAAAGGACCTGCTGCTGCTGCCAAAATTCATTTTAAAGAACTATTTTTAAAGTTATTTATTTTTTAATCAAAATCAAATGTAGTTCCAGATAATAAAAAGACATGCTCAAAGAAATCTGGCCATTTTATTGAAACCTACCATTCTTTCAGTAAATCCACTGAACATTAGTTGCAGACTAGGGAATTTTCAGTGTTGTCTCTATATCTATATCTATATATCTCATCTATATCTATGTAACAGGTGCTTTCTTATGATGTTATAATCCTTTATGTGCTTAACCCTATCCCATAATCTCATCAGTTCCTGAAATGCCACCTTTTTGCACCAAGGTCATATATGTGTACTTGAAAATGACTTTGCATTTGCACAAGTTTAAGGTTACCATTCCCAATTCAGTGTGACACTGGATAAAAAAGTTGTTCATAAAATCTATGGTGTGATGTGCCCATGAGCCAAAATGTATGTGTAGAACATAAGATGAGAAGAGCCTGCAGAATCAGTCCAGTTACCCAACTAGTTCTAGTCCAGGTTCTTGATCTCACAGTGGCCAACAAGATGCCAATGGGAGTCCTGAAAGCATGACCTGAGCGCAACAGAGGTCTCACCGCTTACAGCTTACAGCTTCTGGCATTCAGAGGCACACTTGAGCCATTCAGGGGCAATATCTAAGGACTGAGTTCATAGCAGGTGCAGTACTGCTGCATTTGAGAAATAAGCAAATGATGGCTGGATTCAGGCCAATAATGGACCTAGCAATAGAATTATTCTTTGCGTCTTGAGGATTTATTAATTCAGGCAAATTCCTTCATCCTGGGTA